TACCCACCCTAAATAAAAAAAAAAAAAAAATACCCCCCAAAAAAAAAAAAAGTAAATAAATAAAAATAAATAAAAATTATAAAGTCCATACATCTGTTCTTACTATTTAGATAAAGCATATAGGAAAATAAATTATCGATTTACTTATTTATTTGTTTATGTTACTGGTCTTGTACTTAATGAATACCTTCTCTTAACAATTTAGATAACTTGACAAAGCCTTCCTAAAAATTGACATGTAGTCAGAATTTTAAAATACGTATATTGGGCAAATGAAACCTTGCTTGAATTAGTGAAGTCAACATGTAACTTAAATTACCACCGCAGAAATTATCCTCAGTCTCCCTTAATACTAACATTTATCTTCACCCTAGTTCTTTCATGATAGAGATGCTAATTAACAAAACAGCATACAGTAAGTGTATTTAAAAGACAACGAATGCGTAGGTTTCGATTCTGGGTTTGACTCAGGACCAACTAGCCTTGTGATTTTTGCATTACTTATTTTTATCCTAACCATTGTTAGTCCCCCCATACACACTTTGTTTTTTGCTATAGTGAGTGTGTGCTTGCCTGAGAGAGACAGACAGAGAGAGGGAAAACAAGAAATCCCCCCACCCCTGGGAGACATTTCCATTCTGCAGTCCCTTCTCCTTCATTCTCCTCCTGGGATTTTGGGCACACATGTCCACTCTCACAGTATGCTTTTCAAGTTCAGGGTCTGGGGCTTGAACCACATAGTTGGCCGTTTAGAATCCAGCTGCCTTAACCTCCATGCCATCTGCTGGCCCAGTTCATTCATTTCAATAGTAAGAACTCCAGAGTTCCTTTTCTTTTTCATCCTCTGTAAAATAGAATAAAACTAAACTGCTATATAAATAATGTGTCAGAAAGTTTTCTGGTAGGATTTGGCTTGCTTTAATATTTTACTTCTGTTTTCAGTCTTTAGGAAGAAGCTAGCAAGATGATAATCTTTTTTTTTTTCCTTCTTTCTTTTTATAGAAATTATGACCCAGTCAAAACACAGTCCAAGAAATATGCCAAATCCAAGTATGACTTTGTGGCAAGGAACAACAGTGAGCTGTCAGTTCTAAAGGATGATATTCTAGAGGTAATAGAATTTTACCTCTTTTATATTCTCAGTAAGATAGATTTAGTGTATTCTTTTGGTATGGATCTAAACCGTCCTCAAAGAAATGCTGAGTTCAATAAATTATTCTTTAGTATATTACAAAAGATACAGTGCATACAAGATACCTTTTTCTATTCAGACCTGCTTTTTTTGTGGATGCTTTATTTTTGGGAGGGGTGGGGGTTCTCACTTAACCCCCTTCCTTCTTTTGGGCTTCATTCATTTTGGAATCAAAAGGGACCTACCCCACAATATTTCAGTAAGAGGAAACATTTTATGTTTTTCTATCCTAGTATCCTTGTGCAAATGTACACAGCAATTGGTGAGCTAATGGTGTTGAAACTAGTCTACCATGACACCCGTAGCACTTCCTTAGTTTATAACTGAAAGTTCATCTTCTTGACTATATAAGGTGCACACTAAATTATATTAAAAAATGATTATTATACTTTTCCTTTCTGTTCTCAACGTGGAGACAGTAAGACTTTCCAAGAGAGTCATCATAGTGCTCTCTACGTATTTCAAATAAAGCAGATACGTTAAAAAGTAATGTGGTGCTTGGGTAGCTTCACCATGGTGATACCCTATCTATGCTAATGTGATCCTTAGTGTAATTCCTGAGAATCATTTAATAAATGATATGTTTATGCTGAGTTGACTTGCCAGAAGTAAAAAAAAAAAAAAATTGGTTGAAATTTAGGAATAAAAAGTGAACTTTTGTTATAAACTGTTTTTTATATGGAAATTATATTTTTATTTTCTTATGTGACAGATACTTGATGATAGGAAGCAATGGTGGAAAGTTCGAAATGCAAGTGGAGACTCTGGATTTGTGCCAAATAATATCCTAGATATTGTGAGACCTCCAGAATCTGGGTTAGGACGTGCTGATCCACCATACACACATACCATACAGGTTAGTAGAATTTCTCAGCAAACTTAGTGTTTATAGACTTTCAAAATTTTGATTCTTAAACAGTATTGAAATGCCTTTTGCATGCTAATCATTTTGACTTTTAATTAGTTGTACATTTTTTTTTTCTGAGAGTAATTAGGGGGGCGATAGTGAGGGATGTTGTAAGATTTACATAAATGTTTTCTGATTTTCTTCCATATGAAATTTTTCAAATATTTAGCAGTACACGATGATTTCTCTGAATGACTTCCCCCCAATCTAATATATTTCTAACATTTGAAGAAATAATAGTTCTGTCTTGTTAGCCATAGTGCTTCAATCCACCAGAAGCATCCATTTGATAGAAGGTAGCAGTTTTCAGAGTCTCTTCAATGCTTTGGCACTGACTACTCTTGAACTTGCACTTTTCTCACTATGAACTAAAAAAACAAGTATGTGTTCACTTGAGTTATGATATAGTTCCTCTCTCAATCTTAAGAGTAAAATATATTTATGCTATCAATTTTGTAGGTCAGAATCTCTCTTCTTGACCATTGACTATTGAGATTCACACTACATTTTCAGGGTTTCAGTGACACCAGTGGTCTCATTCACCCAGACACTTGAATCTGCTTGCTATTAAACTCATAGGGTTTTAGATTCATGACAAACTCTCTATGGTCAGGTTTGTCAACAGAGACAGAGTGGATGGACTTTCCTATCCCATTTCCCTCTGAGTTTGGGTGGCTTCTTTCTCATTCCCCCAGGAAAAATTACTTTCATTTTCAGAGTCTTGAGAAAAAGATCACATCTGACTTCATAGTAATGTCAGGACTTTCAGTAGAAGCTAGAAATAATATGCAGTGAAATGGTTAATTTAAATGCCAGGTCTAGGCACAGATTGCCAGACCTAAAATTGTGAACATATTTCTGCTGTAACAATTCAGTTAAATACTTATAATTTTTTCTGACATTCAAGCCTCGTATAGGTTTTACACTTTTCCAGAAGGACTTGGCCTCACTGGAATCCACAAATCAAGCAAATATTTGCAATAAGAAATTAGTGTATAGTTTCCATATCACCTCAATTTTAAATTGATGGCAAAGAGAATTGTTTGCTGTGTTTATGTTTGGCTGACCTGATGTGTGTGTTTATATATATGTGTGTTTTATATATGCATGTGTGTGTGTGTATGCATATATGTATTATGTACTTATTTTATATTCATCATTTGCCATTAGCTATTGATGCCAAAGAAGGAGTTTGAGTTATTCAAGGTATGGTCTACTCTGTTTCCCATGAATTTTTGAAGTGAATTTTCTAACTCTGTTTTTATACTTTCTTCTTTCCCAAGTTTCCACTTTTCTGAGCTTGAGATATGATTGACATAACGTAAGCTTCTGTGTGTGTTATGAATATCAGTTCATGGTTTTCCTGTAAAAGTTTTGACCTTATCCTTAAACAGTAATAGAGTATGTGTGAAATGTATGGCTTAAACACTGGTAGGGTATGTGCCCTTTGCACTGTATGGACAGTCTAATAACTCATGATATGCTAGCTTTTATTTTTTTAAGTATTTTATTTTATTTACTTATATTTTAGGTTTTTGCCATAGGGCATGTATGTTTGCTGGAAAGAGCCAGAGAAAGATGAGGAGAGGGAGAGGGAAAAATCCTCCCCCAAGGGGGATGGCCACACCACAATCCCTTCTCCATTCTCTCAGAATTTGGGGCATGCATGCACATTGCCAGGTGTGATTTTCAAGCCTGATCCAGGACTCGAACATTGGTTGGCCATTTGGGAGTCTAGCATCCCAACCACCATGCTACCTGTTGACCTCATGATAAACTATCCTAGTCTGTTAATGGATTGACAACAGAAATACCTGAGACTGAGTAAATTTAAGAGAGTCAAGGTTTATTTTGACTCAACAGTTCTGTTGGTTTCAACTCCGAAGACATCACAAAATGGTAGAAGGCAGAATTTTTAGAGGAGCCAAGCATGGTCTGTATCTGTGTGCCTCTGACGCCTCATTTCTTCTCTTTGTATACACACTAGAACTCAGTTGTAGAGGCCCTGCCCTAATGACTCTTTCATACCCACAGGCCCCACCTGGGAACATCATGAAGAGATTATGTGTCACTTACCTCCTTTACTCTACAATCCAGTTCCCAGCACGTGAATTTTGGGGGAATATCTAATCACCACCCACTAAGACCAAATTTTAAAACACAAACCTTTGGGAGACAAACCATAATACAACCATAACATAAGCTATAAGAAGCACTGTTCACAAAGGATATCCCTAATTCCTGTGTGTGAGCAGTGGCCAAGAATGTATAGTGTTAACGTTTTAGAAACAATTATCCAACTCTGTTTTTATTTGTGTGCATGATTGCTAGGAATTGGCAAACCGATAAAATATCTGTACTTAAACTTACAAGTAATATGAATTCTAAGTATTTTCTGCCACTTGAGATTTCCTAAGGAGTTTCACAGTTCTGACTTTTTCTTGTTTTCTGTTCAGTCTTATGTTTTTCTTCAATCCCAATTCCTGGCTTGAGCCATAAGTTGACTTTTCTGCTTAAAGGTTCCTTCTGTTTAAAATTGAACCCAAACTATTAGTACAAATCATAGGTAGCAAGAGTATATTTGGAGGAAAAAAAAAATCTATCCCCCTTTTCACGAACAGAACATCATCTTATAATTTTGTCAGCTTTGGCACAACCAAGAAATGTTTTTAAGTGCTCACAAGCTTGAGGAGTTTGTTTTGCTACTTTGTGTAAATAGAAACTTGTGGTCCTTGTGGGGATTGCCTATTTTGGCTATATCCTTTTAAACTTTTCAACACTAGCCGACTGTCTTTTGAACATTTCTGGATGCAACTGTGAGCGCAGTGACGTATGCAGACATGTGTATGGAAGCCTTCTGTGTGTGCATATGTGGTGTTCACATTGAGGGCCCTCCTTTTAAAAGTGACTAAAAACCATCTGCTTTTTCACACCTCCTGAAAATTTTGGGCTGAGCCCAACAAAACCACCAGAATTTTGTAAAATTTAATAAGCAGGCCCGACAATCTGCTGTCTGGTATCTGGCATAAGTCCTGTGCTAAAAGGATTTTAAATTCTCAAAACATTTATAACATTAAAAAAAGAAAAAGAAGACATCGGAAATTAAAGCACCCTTGGAAATGTACGCCACAGTCCCTACCACGGGATCATCAAATGCCTTTGTCTAAAATAGCTGAGAAAAAATCTATAGTTGCTTCAAGAAATTTTTAGAAGACAATTGGATAGCGTGGAAGAATTTAAAAAGATACAGCCAGAATTTCAGAATGATATAGGACACATTTCAGAATGACAGTAAGGGTGCTTCCATGTCGAGTATCCTTATGTCGAGTCCAATTATCCTAATTCCCTATTTCTGTAAAATTCCCCTGGACTACAGCTCTCTGTCTTTCCTGTCTTTTTGTTACTCATCCCTCGAATACTTGTTGAGTTTTAGCTTCTTGTACTTGACAGAAAGAACAATGGAAAACCTAGCACTGAGCAGATCCCCCACAAAAACCTGTTATACGGCATCCAGTCTTCAGATCATGAGCTGTGGATTGCTCTCCTTTGTGCCTGCTAGTAAGAGTAGTGACTGGCAGGTAGCATGGTGATGAAAGCACTGGACTCCCACATGGCCGACCATGGTTCGCGTCCTGGACCTGACAACTTGCTTCCTCACTTTCCATCTCTCTCTCTCTCTCTTTCTGGTCAAATTAAAAAATAATAAGAATAAATAAAATTAAATAAAATAATTCTTAAAAAAAAAAAAGGAGCGGTGACCGCTTTCCCCTCCCCAGATGTAGCCCATACACTTTTATCCCTTCCATCTGTCTCTTCCATCCAGTGATATCAGAACTTGGAAGAAATGTAAAGAAGCTTTATTTAACAAAAATGTGTTAGATCCTTCTACTGTTTTGCAGAAAGACACCTAATGATTAGCTTAAGCTTGCATCACACATGCAGAGAGCCATGATGTTATACTCAAGGGTAGACAGTATCACACTCGATGCGTATTCTGTGCATAAATCCAGGATGAGGACCAGCATTCTGGATCCAGAGCCCTTGTTCTGATGGATTCTACTGTTCCAGGGAATAGTGCCTGCAAAAGGTTGTCATTTCTTTCTCTAGAGACATATACAAATAGACACCTTTACTCTGAATGCTTAAAGTGACATTTTGTCAGGATGGCTTTACCATGCATTATGCTGTGATAAAAGTGAATTTAATCAGGGCCAGCAGGTGGTGTAGAGGTTAAGGCTCTGGATTCCCACATGGCCAACCATGACTTGAGTCCTGGATCCGGCAGCTCAAAAATCACACTGGGGTGTTGTATGAAAGGAGAGAAGGTTAGCACTCCCCTTGACAAGGATGGAAGAGGCCCTCGGGCCTGACAACACACATACAGTTAAGGCATTGCCAACTACTTTGTGGCATCTAACAATGTTTTTTGGGAACCAGCAGTTAGCATAATGGCTATGTCGCTGGACTCCCATGTAGTTGACTGCGGTTTGCGTCCCGGACCCGGTGGCTTAAAACTCACGCCAGGCGCGTGTGCGTGCATGCCCAAGATCCTGAGAGGAGAATGGAGGAGAAGGGATTGCGGCGTGACCATCCCCCCTGCGGGGTGATTTCTCGCTTTCTGTCTCTCTGTCTCTGTCTGTCTGTCTGGCGAGCGCACGCGCCCTATAGTGAAAATCTCTCCAAAAAAAATCACACTGGGTGTGTAGGCATGCGCGCCCAAAAATCCTAGGAGGGGAATGCAGGTGAAGGGATTGTGGCAAGACCATCGCCTTGGGGGGTGATTTCTCACTTTCTCTCTCTCTCTCTGTCTCTCTCAAATGAGCACACATACCTATGCAAAAACCAAAAGAATGAAAGGAAGGAAGGAAGGAATAAAAAAGTTAGTCTGGTCATTCACAATCCTTGGAGTTGAACTTTTGTCTTAAGTGTCCATTTCTTGGATTTCATCA